TGTCTATCACGATTAATACTGAATTCAGTTTCTTCATCTGTCTTTCAATTACATGTTCTAAATCACTTGGATTATGATTATCAAATTTAATTTTGTTTTTTATCATCATCCACGTGCAATTCATCCCTGATAAATTTTAACTTCTGTAAATGTAGGGTCGTTATGGACGCTTGTGGAAAATATAAATATTCTTGCAAATGAACTTCTATAAACATTAAAAATAAGATTCTGGACTAAAACTGTTTTGCCTCCCGTCGAACTCGCAACTATAATACGTCTAAATGGTAATTTTGGCACGTGCTCATATTTAGACTTGTTGAACTCATATTCAGTTATGTTTATTGGTTTTATTATTGGAACATCGGTCATAGTTGATATTAAAGTTATTTGGAAAATTATATTTAAACATTAACTTGTAATTAATATTAAATGGAACACTTTCTGTTATGAGTGTTGGTGAACAACAGAATGGAACAGGCTTTCCATTGCTTCAATCAAGAAGCACTGAAGCTAATTAGTTTGTGTCTTGCTTGCGTGTGCAAAGATTAATTTATAACATTTATCTTGTGATTTTATATGAAAAGGAGTTATTCAGAGTGTATTAATACAATAGATGAAGTAGAGAATATAGAACAGGTAATAATAACTGACAATAAGATTAAGAAATGCTGTTATTATGCATTAGAATTAGTTAATCTAGGAATACAATATATCAAAGTAAAAATGTAAATATGAATCTAAATGTGAAAAAAAGAAAAAGAGTAAAGGCAAAGAAAGACCAATGCCAGATATTGAAGCACGGAAAGAAACAGCAGAAAGTGTTTAATGACTGGGTGAAAGTAAGGCTATAAAATATGATAAATGTAATCACGCAATGAACTTTAAAAATGAATTGACGGTAGGTAAGAAAGGCGGAGTGAAGGTTAGTTGTATTCCTTTTTTGTTTTCTTATCAAAGCTCAGATAAAGATTAAAATATTAAGAAAAACAGGTGGCGATATGGTTGTTGAAACTAATGAACATTTGATTAATGTTAGTTTTAACAGGGACAAAAGTTAGTATTTAAAGAGTAGTTTTAAACATAATTGAACTTAAAAAAATAGTTAAATGAATAATTATCTGAATAAATATACAGTAATGTCTGAAAATGAGAATTATACTGTTAATGGCTTAATGAAGAAGATAACATGACTTTTTAAATTGATGAAAAAATTAAACCAGTTGAACGCGAACAACAAAGCACTGAAGAGAAGGAGAAGATAGAAAATAATTGAAAATATTTGAAAAGAAAGGAATTGGCAGACCTACTGGCAGTTATGAAACAAAACAAAAGAAGTATTGTGATATGTTAAACAGTGAAAAAATCAAGACCCCAAAGCAACAAACATTAGACTACTATAAAATTTCGAAAAATGATGATGGAGTATATGTATTATTTCAATAGTTAATATCTAAGCAATTCTAAGAATATGAATTTATTAGAATTTTTTAGCGGAACTGGTAGTGTGGGAAATATCGCAAGGAAATTTGGTTTTAATGTGATATCATTAGACTTGAAAAATGCTGATATCAACACTGATATTTTGGAGTGGGATTACAAACAGTTTGACAGAAACCACTTTGATTGTATTTGGAGTAGTCCTCCATGCACCGAATACAGCAAAGCAAAAACAACAGGAATTAGACAAATACATTATGCGCATAGTATTGTCTTAAAAACCTATTGAAATCGTTAAATACTTCAATGTAATTTTTTTGTAATCGAAAATCCTGAAACTGGATTATGAAAAAATCAGGAGTTTATGGATGAGTTTGACTTGAAAGATGTTGATTACTGCAAGTATGGATTTAACTATAGAAAGAAGACTAGGCTATGGAATAACATTACAACTTGGAAACCTAGAGATTTATGTAAAAAGGATCGGGCAACATCAGGAATAACAAACATATTGAAACTGCGCAGAGACTGCTAAATGGAAACAAGGAAAAATGGGGTGACAATTATGTAAAACATAAGCAGGAAGATGTATATAAACTACCTAGTGATTTAATACTGGAAATTTGATGAGTTTGACGGATTAAGGTTTTTGAGTTTGGGGTTTGGACTCAAACTGGAAATTCCTAGGTTCATCAACCGACAATACAGTAAAACATAGGAAATCTAAATATTGAAAATGATAGATTTTAAGGGGATAATCCATAGTTTATCAAATTTAGAAAACACCAATATTCATATAGATATATCAGGAAACTCTCGCCAATCGCCAAACAGGGCAACAAAAATTGCGAGAGTTTCCCCTATATATATATTACTATAAAAATTAAACCAACCCAGCCGCCAACCCAGCCCCAGACCATACCTAGAAGTTGTCAGTCTCGAGGCGCAGAAGACCACGTGAATACCTGCGCAGGAAAAACAAACACATAAAAGGCAAGGGGAGGGGAGGGAGGGGAGGGGAAAAGGGACCCCAAAAGCCACACCCGTAGAACCCAGCCCAAAACCCACACCCAAGCCATCCGCCCTGCCCCTTGGTCAATTTTTCATCTCAAGAAAGCTTCACAGGGTATGTAATGCATCCCGCACGGCTCAAAGCGGGGAAGCATATTCTGCAAACCCAATGGAGACAGTGAAGGAAGGTGGCTTTTACCTTTCGGGAAGGTGGCTTTTACCTGTCGGGAAGGTGGGATTTACTGCTGGAGATTGGCAATGTCAGGAGGCACTCTTTGCCTTTCACATGACTATGCACTTTGGGGTTCTGAAGCCTCAGCATCTGTGCTCATCACAGACTGCATGCCCTTTCATAAATGTCAGCACCTCCCGCACATCAGCAAGAAACTTCTCATTCGAGTAGCACAACCCACATGGCTTGAAAACGGAGTAGTGTTTTGCATATTCAGCCACCAGCATCTCAAGCATTTCAACCTTTTGGTTCTGCAAATTCGGAATCCCATCAGAGGTGACCGCGATGTCGTCCAAGATGAGGTCTGCCACCAGGCAGATTTTCTGCTCTGTGTTGGCCGATGCGCCCTTGCCTTCGAAGACCTGAAGGATGGTGTTCAACTTGCTCTCATCATCCATCTTGCTTTTCAAGGAAGCAATCCTGTCCCGGATAGGCTTCAAGAAGGCTTGGACGGGCTCTGGCACAGATGCTGATGCGTCCATTCGCTGTTCCACCTTCTTCTCAATCACCGCCTTGGAACGCTTGATGAGTTCCTTCAAAGCCGTGTCAGCCTTGAGGTGTGTCTTGTGAGTAGCCCTGATTCCACCACCCTTGGGAGAACCATGTTGATGTCAATCTCTTTGTCGCCCCATGCGAACTGATGCGCAACTGTCTCCTCATCAATGACAACCGCGCCACGAACCCTCAACTTGAAGTCCGCCTCCTTGATGCGGTGCTCTGGGTCTGCATCCTTGAAGGAAGCAATCCTCGCCACCATCAAGGATTTCAACTCACCGAAGCTGATGAAGGCGTCCTCAAGAAACAAGGAAAACAGCTTCTTCTCACCCTCCTGCTCAGAGACACTCACCCTCAGAATGTTTGGGCGCGATGTCTGATTGATGAACTCCGTCTGAAGCTCATTGCCTTGGAAGGGTCTTCCAAATAGCCTTCAGGGAAAACAAAGAAGTCATCATCTCCCGTGTCTGGCTCAGACATGGGCGAGATGTCATCGCTATCTGCGTCTTCCTCTGCACCGCGGGCACGCCCACTCAAATCATCCTGATGAAAACGAGCAACTGCATCAACAATCTCATTCCACTCCTCAATGACGATTGCAATCAGCCTGTCCTTTGGTATAGGTCATGTCTGCCCTGTGTCGGTAGCCCACATTTGTGAGACCCACAAGCTCACTCTTCTGAAGCTGCTTGAGGGTGGCTTGAGATGCGGAAATTGCTTCGGGTCCATCCACTGCTCAATGGGTGTGTGCTTCAAGTGAATGATGTCGCCACTCCTGACAAAGTGCTGGCGAACCACACCATCCCTGACAAGGAAGAAAATCCGCGACGTCACTGCTTCACCACCACAGAGAGACAATGCGTTGGATGCTGACTTGAATGTCGAAAAGTGCTTCGGATATCCACCTTCACAAGCCTTCAATGCTTTTGCACGCTCTCACTGCTCTCAGCATCCGGGCAGGCGCACTTATCAAGGATGATGTGGAAGTCCCCGAAGCCGGAACGGTGCGACGGTTGCCCCAGAAACGCCAGAAAGCCCTAAACTCCACAAGGAGCACCACGCCTAAAACATATATGATGAAGCTGATGAAACGAAGGAGGGGAGTGATGTTGTTGCTGTTCTATTTTTTGTCTTAAAATGGACACATCGTTTTTAGACAGTTCGATTTTTTGATGACAAATATTTTTTATATTGTGCATTTTTTGAAATGGATGAGGCGAGGAGATTGAGGAAATGACATTTTGGAGGGTAGTTGGTGAAATTAATGAGGCGAGGAGGAAGGAGGAAGGATGGCCAAAAAAATGAATAATGATGAGAAAAAACGGATGAGATGGACAGAAAGGAATTTGGAAAAATGATGAAAACGAATATGGGTAGAAGATGGAAGATGACAAAAGTTGTAGGGTGGGGGGGGGTATGGGTGAAAGCAATTATTTGCTAGGCGTGGCCCTCGACTACTATTTGGGGGTTTAGTTTGGTTTGTAAAATAGGGGCACGTTGGGTGGGTGTAACGGTAAGTTTGGTGCAAATGCGGGTGCAATTTGGTGGCACATTCGGGCGCATCTGGGGGTAAGTTTGTGGTACATTCCACTTCGTCGTGAATTGAGGGTAATTGTGGTGGTAGATTTTGATTCGTGCAAGTTTGGTGCGGTTGCAAAATTTAAGATATGGTGTACGTTTGTGTGGTAAGTTTGGTCGGCAAGGTTCAACATCCTTCAAAGAGATATTATAACCAGCAAGGATACAGAGAGATATATTTATATTTGTACTGTGTATGTGTGAGTCTCGGAGCAACAGCTTACGCAAGTTCTTAGATGATCGCCAGGAGCTGCTTGGCCACGTGGAAGGCGCAGACAACGCAGCGCAGCAACACGCCTGCAAACTTGCGATGCGTGACTCAGACTCAACTAGCAGTTGTTCGGCAAAGTGCTACCACGGTCTCAAAGGATGTAGGATGTTGAGCTCGCGTTAGCCCACGGCCGCACTCCGAGGCCCGTGGCAGAAAAAACACAATGGCGTCATAATTCACACAAAGCCCTGTTTCTGTGAAGACATTGGTTGCACATTTCGCTTGCGGCCGCGTCTTGCGAGGTGAAGAGCCGGAGACGGTGGAGATCGAGGATACCGAGATCCCGAAACTGGGAAGCAAGGGCGGGGAGCTGCTTCGTCAGGCTCGCGCCGATTGAAGTTGTGGCTCGCCGCGGTTTGTGTGCTTTGGCGAGCCAGGTGCATGGCAGTCAGTGTTGCTGTGCCAATGTTGCCCTTAAGCCGTCGCACTGTGTTGGAATGCAGCAGGGGGCGCGATTGAGAGTTGAGTGTTGCGTTTGCCTTCAAGTGTGCAGCCACGGTCAAGTTTGACCCTTGCAGGTCTTTGAATTGGAAGGACCGCCGGAGTCAAATTGGTGCAGAAGGTGCCAACGTGTGATGACCAGCGAGTGAAGTGGACGGGTTGATCCGTCCCTCATGTTGTTTGCGCAGTTCGTGGAGCCGCTTGGGTGTGTGTCTTGCGCGTGTGCTTGCTCTTGCTCGTAGGAACTAGCAGACTTTAATTCTCAACAGACAGTTTTTGCTGGGAAGCCCTCGAAACAATTCCTCTTCTTGAGCTTGTCTTCGAGGATGCAAGCAGGGCTACAGACCAGCGAACGATGACCCAGTGCTGGCGAGCGCAGCTTTGAAGCACGGCAGGGCAAGGATGCCTTGCTAGTTTCTGCCAACACGGGTCACCGCAGGGCGCCGGACCAAACGACGTTCGCTCTTGGACGTGGGTTGGGAGTTGCGCAAAGCCTACGCAAGTAGGAGTAAATCGTGGCTTCAGTGGGATCGCAGGGAAGCCTGCAAATGTGGAAGCAGGGCTGGTGCGCAGCCAGCTGGTGTCTTCAAAAGCAGCGCGAGTTGTTGCGGGCTAACCCTGCGAAGTCAGAGCGCTCACCCGAAACAGCGCGAGCGGCCCAGCCTTCCAACCAAACCTGCGCCGAACATGCTACGATCCTGCTCCGAGAAGGTGTCGCCGAGGCGGTTTGGGGACTTGTTGAAGAGCTGCATGTACGCGTGAAGCCGCGCTGTTGGCCCGCTCCTTCTCCTAAGCTCGCGCTGTTCTTCAACTCACAGCGTATATTTGTGCGACTGGCAGCGATTTTTTTTTACTAAAAGGCAGTACGACTCAAGCAGTTGCAGCGCCACTGAAGTTCCTTCTACGCTTTGGGCAATGCAACCAGAACTCGTGGAGCCCTCACATGGCGCACCCTTTCCTTCAAGGGCCCTAAATGCTACACGCAAGTTCTGCGCCGAAGCCTTGCCTCTTTCGCGCCAAGGCGCAGGTGCACTCCGAGCTGCCATCGTATGTGGGCCAAGCTGGGTCTGCCGTGGGCACGGCGCGGCTGCTGGACGTGCCTAAGACAAAACCAGTTAACCAACACAACCGCTCTTGATAGAACCAAGTTTGAATGCTAATTGGTTAGCAGAAAGTTCTCAGCTTGTTCAGCAGCGAGCTTTTAGCTTCGCCAGATGTCGTGGCACCGTGGTTCGCTAACGCAAGTGGCCCAACGCTGAGGACTTGTTCAGACGGGCGCATACCACGGGCTTGTGGAGCACCGACCCTTGCCCGTCCTCGCTGCCCAGCGTGCCGCGACTGTTGCAGAGGAGCGCCCGCGCGTTGCCGAAAGTTCTTTGAAAGGTGCCTCGCAGTTCCAAGGAGGTTGTTTGGAGACGTAGCGTGACCAAGTGTCACGAAGAGAAACCCATTGCGTGAGGACCGATTCCTTCTTCATGCCAGGCCGGAGAGCGCCAACCGTGAGGCGTGCTTTGACCCAAGCGCGCGAGGTTCGCCTGGCCTGGTGCGATGCTCCTTCTTCGTTTCGGCACTTTTGCGGACGATGTTCGCTGCGCTGACTCTGCCCACCACCGAGGCGGTCTCAGGCCTCGTGAATTTTCGTTCTCTGGCAGACTTGACTAGCCACAAGTGTGGACAGCCTATGCCGAACAAACTTGATTGAGGGCAGAAGCTCAAGTTGACGATGCTATGCAAACCAAGGCGTCCGCACGGTTTGGCCTTGCTTGATTGAACTCAGGGCGCGCGTTGCCAAAGAACTCAACCACATGTTGCTTTCTCAGAAGAGCAGCTGCGCACGAGTAGGCGCAGAAGGAATGTCGTTTCAGATGAGATTGCTGGCCACGCTAAGACGCTAAGTTACCTTATCTAAATACGAGAATCATGCTAAGGGGGTTCTGGTGACTTTGAACGTAGGCGGTTGCTGGTGCGGCGGGCACGTCTGCTGGTGTGATCGGTGCGGTTGCTGGTGGTGCGACGGGCATGCTGGCGCGATGCG